AGATAGGATCAGTGAAATGAATGCTTTGAATAAATAGGTTTTAATTGTTTTTAGGTCAATTTAGATTTTTTATCGATTGGTTATATTAGAGAAAAATGCTCCGCTTCTGTTGAAATATGGGCTCGTAGTAAGGAGGTTTTGTCTCCTTGGTAATCTTTAAACATTGTCGAACATCATGTCCTAGAAGATAATACCTTGGTATTTGAAACTATGGGAACACCATCTTCAGTCACTGGGAAGGCAGGTAGATCCAGTGATGAGTTTCAGGTAGGACAAAATATGCATCCTGGATTTCACTGCCAGACATGATCATTCAAAATAAGTTAAAATAGATTTTATATAATGAAAGGTTATATCACTTGAATATATTTCGTATCTAAATGGTATATTCTTGTCTTTGATTACCTTCAGACGTTTCGCTTACATTAACAAGAATAACGAATATGACATGGGGTAGACTACACATGTTTCATCGTTAATTCTTAAAATGTACATATATGATTTTAGTAATATGGTGTAATATAGCACAAAACCTAGGTCCAAGGCTTCCTGCCGATTGCCTCCAACCATCTAATATCATCACAAATATTGTATTGTGTCAGCTGGATGGATGGATTAATTCCCAGGTTTTCATCGTCTTTTCGGAGAACAACTTAAATTTCGGTATGAAGAATAATGAGTTCTGAGCATTCACGACAATCAAATTTAAGTATTCATTTTTGTAGGGATTTTGTTCGATTGGTTGGAGGATTTCATTATAAGCTGACATCAGTGAAGGAACCACTGGAAAACCTGCAGGGAGTACTGCACAACTGTTTCGTCCTAGTTCTTGGGACTTTTCATCAGTACACACCCACCGGGGTTCGAACTCATGGCTTTCTGGTTACAAGGCGAGCTTGTAGACCCGGTGGGTGTGTACTGCTGAAGAGCACCAAAAACTAGGCTGTCCAGTACTCCCTGGCAGGTTTTCCAATGATTCTCTCACTAATGTCAGTTCATGATGAAATCCTCCAACCAGTCAATCAAATTTACACTCTTTTGAAATTTGTAGTTTAATTTAACCATGTAATCTTTTATTTTTATTAATTTACAGACTTTAACTTAATAAAATGATTCTAGTCTTGTTTGTTTTTTCACTCATTACTCATTCTCTTCCTCTTTTTCCGTACACATGGGAAGCTTCTATCTGATATCATTTAAACTACTGATAGTTTGGGTGACGATTTACAATTCTTACCTTTTTTAAAATAATGTTACTCAATAATCATGTGCATGGACAACTGACTGTCAACTACACTTGCAGTATAAAGGCTAGTGATACTGCCTAGCCATTTAAACGTCACTAGGTTAAATGGGATTTGAACCTGTGATCCAGTGATTGAAAGGCGAGTAGGTGAAGTGATAAAGCACAACTTCATTTATAATGTTTATTGTAGAAACATTTTAGTCTTTGAAATTCAGAAATTTATGGTCCTATTGTAACAACAGAAGACAACGGCCAGGCAACAGATAGTTTATTAAGGGAAATCAACACATATTTATAGATTTTAATGTACATTATTGTAGATTATTGTTAGTAGAAAATACAGTCTTTTGATTGGTTGTCTCTCACAGAAAGTTAACCTTGCATCTCTTTGTGGCTGTGTCAGATCATCCATATGCTAACTGTATCCGCCTACGCAAAGCCTTTGTTCTTATTTTCTCACCACCAATATTGGGGACATAAATATTGACGTCAATTACTGTCTACCAACTTTGGCTAGCAGCCAGCTCTCACTATACTGGTATAAAGCTAATAAATCCACCTCATAAAATAAAAATACACCTCTACCTGACCTTGAAACAAGATGTTCCATCCTGAATGCAAAGGTATATATATATATTACCAATCCAGCTGAAATTCTAACACTTTATTTGTTATTTTATCATGTAAACGGAAATGAATTGTAAATTTCATACTCTAATATGCCTATTCAAGTATCCATTGTCTTCGCAAACTGTTGGATCTTTCTTTGTTGTTACTCTATTCTATGTTATACCAAGTCTTCATATCTTTTCAAAGATTTTTATTGTTATGATTCTTGGTAAATTTTATTTACAGTGTATAAAAACTGTATATTTAGAGGAAAAGTGTAGAGAAACACACCAACTTGTTTTAACTGTCTGAAAATAATCAATTTTAATCCAGCGGAATTTTTAAAAACTGGTTTTTCAAGAGTATTTACGAAGGGTTTTTGTCAAAGTTGAGAAACAAACTTCTCAATTTGAACAGTGGTATAAATAATGTCGAAATGAAATATCACTGTATGAAATAGATTGGAGTATCATTAGACGAAAACTTCTTAAATACATTTTTCTGATGGGTTCTTTGAGCCGAGTTATTCAGTTGCGAACGTTTCATCATCTTTCCAGGCAATTCATTTAGTGCTAATTTAGAGTGAAATAAACTTAAAAAAATTATTGTATGAAAAAAATAACCTATGACTGATCGTCCTCATAGGTTTCCTTGTCACTTTATTGAATTTTATTGGTTGATTGATTATTTCATTGTTTTTGTACTTGATACTTTGACCATGTGATTTGTCTCTTATCGATTAATAAATTTAAGGGTTTTAAAAGCTCAATTAGTTGTGAAGTTGTCAGTGAAGATGTTGTCTAGAATAGAAGTGACATGGTTCCATACTTAAATCATACAGCTTAGAAAAGGAAACACATCGGAAAGCTCTACTGGCAACTACATCTCTCTGCCATTTCAGTATTTTTAAAAATCAGATCTCTTTCAAATGTTTGATAATGTTGCGATTATTCAAAAAAGGTCTTTTCATTTCTTTACGTTCCACTTGGAATATATGGCTTCAAACATTGGGCTTTGTAGTTTCAGTAAATGATTATATTGTTTTTATGGAGTGAGGCAACTAGCCACATGCCCAGTCTCCTCTCTTTTCCAGGTCTGCTATCCGCCAGGCGAGGTTTAGGAGTGCGTCGGCCGGTAATCTAATCTCGGACTTGTGAAAGGCTAGTGGGCATTCTACCCCCCACCCTCCGCTGCAGCCATCCACGCGACCAAATAAAAGAATAAATTAGTGAAGTGCAACTGAAGTCAATTTACATTTCCCTTTGGTTGATTATGTCCAAGACAAATCCTCGGTCTCTACTGACATTTAGGCTCCTAGTGCGGACGATTCAATGATGTCTGAAAGTCAGCATTTCCGTGGGTGGTCAATAGCAGTGGAATCCAGGATGCGAGTTCCACCCTCTTTGGGACTCGTCAGCTGCATGTTCCCCTCATTTTAGTCGGACATTCAGATTAACCTAAAAATTAATGATAAATGATACCAGTCTCACAGTACGTGGCTGTCTTGGCCTAGTGAAAAGTGCTTTGATGCTCGAAACGGTGGTTGTTGGATTCGAGTCTCGGCGAGGACAGTAGGTGTATTCAGCTGATGAGTCTAAAGTTCTAGTGATATCCTCATTTATGTTGAATAAAATTCATTTGAAATAATTTATCAAGGCAGTTATTTATATTTCAGTTTAGGTGGATCTGGAATTATAATAATTTTTTATCTTTTACTCAGGATGTATAAATAAGTATAAATAAGCTACTTTTTGTATCATTCAACGGGTTATGTTGACTGAAAAGCCTAACAGTTGCTGAATACCGTTAGCTGTATTTTTCCTACTGCATCGAATACAATTTTCGTTTCCGGCAGATAATTTAAAGTGTGTGATAAGTGAACTAATGAAATACCGAATTTTAGGTAACTATACTTTATGCTTCTAGTACTTGACATTACACACGAAATACCCTTTGTAAATATTTGAACAGTGACAGAACAAACATTGGTGCAGGATAATATGGATCCACTTTATTGCCTTGGTTCTAATCACCTGTGTACAATCCATACTATTTAATAAAACCAGTTATAGTATGACTTTTGTACGTCAGTGTTACAGCGGTAGAGTACTGGCCTATCAAGCACGTCGTCCAGGGCTCGAGTCCCGGTCGGCGCACACATTTACTTCCCTTAGCCGGTTACAATCCCGGCAAAGAGGGAAGGTTGGGAGATGGGTTAGCGAATCCCTCGTAAAAATAAATACCACTCCCACCAAAACTTCACAGCTCTAGAATGAAGCCCTACGTTCCACTGGGAAGGTAAAGGAATAAAATAATAGTAGTCATGAATAGGTCCACCAGTAAGGATTGCTGTAAAATCCTCATAGCGAAACATGACTTTAGGATAACAAGGTTGTGTCAGACTATTAGTATGTGCATATATATATATAGTTTATATGGCGAATTTTCTCGTAAAAGATGAACACTTTCTTTATAAGGGTGGTGATAAGTAGTTGCTCAATCAGAGATAATAAGATTTTTTTATTGTAGCTTGATTCCTCACCGTATTTTTGGCACAAGTATGGAATTTTCAGCATGTGATATCGGTAGCCCAAATTTTGCATGCCGACCATTGATAACAGGTGTGCGTCGGCGAGAGTCCTAACCATTGTGATTAGGACGTATAAGGTTGGCTTATCAAAATTAAGTGTGTATGAAACTGAACCCCCTACGACGAATTCTTTTGAACACATAGATCCAGTCTCGGTCGTTTTATTGTGATAGCTTCAACAAACCGAAGGAGACTTAGGTTTTCTTGTCTGTTAATTATTTTGGTAGTAACCCCCCAACCGCATGACACCAACTATCAAAAAAGAGAGAAAAAAAACAAATAGACGTGGTTAAATACAAAGTGATTATTGTGTTTGCAGTCATACCGTTGGTTAGTTACTTTTCAACAGATCATTTACAGATCATTCTTACATAAGCAATAATATACTCAATCTTTGTCTGTTAAAGGGAGATTATTGATGGGTAGATTCATTTCAGTTTAGTGATATTTCAATATGTTTGGTCTTACGTTATCAACATTAAGAGTGTGAATGTTTCAAAGGATTCACCTTAATGAGTTTTTCTTTCTTTTCCGTTTCTAATTTACTTCCCTTAGTTTGTTTTACGTGCTGTTCCTAAACGTTCAGTATTTATCAAGAAACTAGGAATGGATCAAGATGATTGTGAATTACTTGTAAGTTGGTAATATTTATATTTTGATTATTATCATAATATTGTTATTATCCCCCTGGGTTCCGAGTGGAACATAGGGCTTCAACATCACATCTACACTCTATTCTCTTTGTTGTTCCAGCTGTCCTCTTCAACTGGCCCCACGATTCCCCATAGTCTCTCATCTCCTCTTCCTCCTCCTCCGCATCATCATCACTACCGTATGATCTCCTCCACGTCACCCTCGTACCAACAACCCACTCGTCGCCGCTTCTCATTCAGATTCCACTCGAGCGATGGCCTGCATTGAGCGCGATGTCATTCGACGGCCTTCTCCCTCGACGTATGCCCGATCCATCTCCATTTTCTCCTTCATGTTTGTTAAGCAATAGGTCCTTGACAAGTTCGTTCCTAGAGTTTCTTGTTGCTAATTCTTTCTGACCGCCCGACCATTTGATTTTCAGTATGGAGCCAGCCAGCGATGGAATATGTTGACAAAAGTCTGAAGTAGCCTTTTGGAAGTGCTTTTCTTGACACGTAGTGTAAGTTTCTGACTTGTACAGAAGAACTGAATGACTGACTTTACATGTGTGTTGAAAATCATAATTTTGTTTTTGATGCGGAAGATTTCCAAATTGATTTCAGATTGGCGAAGGTGTATCTTGTCTTTCTGATTCTAACTTTAACATCTTCATCAGTACACACATCCTACTTTAATTAGTTATAGATAATTTTTTGCAATTTTGCCAGGCTTTGAAATTTCTGTAGCAGCTGGATTGATTTCTCAGTGTAAAATCGCCAACTCCCGTACAACTGACCTTCCCTCTTTCATCAGGGTTTAGGACTATCTAGTAACCTAGTGGATTAACACAGTAAATAAGTCAATAAATAGATAAATAGTAAATCTCAAAAGATTGATCAATAAACAAAGAAAATGTTTTGGAATAACTTCTTCATCACATTCTACAGTCATGACAATGATAACATCTGCATTGTGGAGTGTTTTTTTAAAATGTACAGAATTTTCAGAGGAGTTAATTGCATGATATTTTCCCTTCGGACAATATCTTCAAGTAAATTATTAGTTGACAACTGTGTATCCTGTAACACAAATGGTCTCTTAACCGAAGCACAAACCATTCCATTATGATATGTATATTTTGTCTCCTCTTTCAAGAAATCCACGATATCTAGTTGAAAGCCGATGGTGAGATGTTCAGAAGTACATTTTGAGATCCAAGGACATAAGTGAGGAACAGTTTCTGATGAAGTTGTGTTCTCTGAGCTGGATACTTTATTTGCGAAGCTTTTATTGCCCTGCTAGACAACATCTTCAGCGCATACTTCAATTCGTTGAAGTGAGAGTTTAGATTTCTCCACGAGTTTATTAGTCATCCCTCCTGGTGACCTTGGACGTGATTGGTTGTTTTTGTGTGTTTTCATACCTTCTAGGCTATTTGTATTGGAACTGATTGTTTCTTTGACTTGAACTTTGACACTTTTTGTGTGAGGTTTCTTCCTTATCGGTTGATAAATTTTGTCCATGTCGATGTGCCTATTGAGTGATGATTCACTGGAATACCAGGCAGCCTTCTAGAAATTCCCCAGCACTCTTGATGTTTCCTCTGTCTAATATTTGAACGCTGGTTGTCCCAGTTGAACTGATGTCCGTGGTTGTCTGTATGTAGTGATATGAAGGAATGGATGTCGTGTCGTTTGACGGCTAGCTTATGTTCATGGATACGAAGATGAAAGGGACGTCCCATTTGGCCAGTTTAGTGTTTTTCGCAGTCGTTGGTATTTATTTTGTAGATGATGTTGGCTTTATATTCTTTCGTTGTTGAGTCTTCTGCTTGACACAGAACTGAGTGAAGTGATTTTGTTGGTTTGTGCGCGAAATCAATTCCTAAAGGTTTGGAGAATCTTGCACTGATTTCTGAGATATCCTTTATATATGGTGCTGCGATTTTATTTGTGCTTTCCTTGTGGGCCTTTGATTTGATAGGTTGGCTTGGGAGTAAATGTCTTTTGATGAAATTACGTGGATATCCATTCTTTTGGAAGACGTCTATGCGATATCTTTCTTCAATTTTCCTTAAGTTGGGAGCACTGCAATGAGTCCTGGCCCTCTTGAGTAGTGTTTATATACAATTCGTTTTGTGTGTTATTGGATTTTTGCTGTTGTAATTGAGTATTTGGTCTGTTTGAGTTGATTTTCCATGAAATTGAGTTCCTAATTCCCCTGTGGTTGTTCTTTTGACTAACATATCTAAAAATGGGACTTTTTCTGGGATTCCCCTTCTCTTGTGAATTTGATGTCGTTGAACAAGTTGTTTATTGAGTTTTCAGTTCTGTCTAACTTGTTTCTTTTGATTATTACAAACGTGTCGTTTACGTAACGTATCCAAATTTTGGGTTTGATCTTTGGTGAGATTATGTTTTCGACTATCTGCATCACAGTTTCTGCAGTCACGTTCAAGGTCACTAGGAGAGATGACTAATAAACTCTTGGAGAAATCTAAAAGCTCACTTCAAATTAAAGTATGCGCTGAAGATGTTGCCTAGTAAGGGAATGAAAGCTTCGCAAATAAATAACAGTTCTGAGAACACAACCACATGAAAATCATCCACCTGAGCTACAAATCGTCTCCATCACATCTGAAGAGCAGTTATCTGATGTATTGGAACATGTTGCCACCCGCAGTTAGGCCATCCCCCAAATTTAGGAAGAACCCTCGAATTAGGAGCTTGTGAATATTTTAAATACACACCAGAGTAGATGATACCAATAGAAGTCATATCTTAGTCGATTAAAGCAAACTAAATGGGAGGAAATATGTACAGTCGAGAGATGGAAGTTCTTGGTAGCCCAAATTTTAAGCAGGCCGCCAGTATGTTGATTTCCAATTAAATATATAAACATATATAGTTATGTTTTTACGAGTTGATCACGGATTGATATCATTTAGAGAACCATTGAAAACCAGCACCGGAGTACTGGACAGCTGTTTCATCCTAGTTTGGGGGAATCATCGGCAGTACTCACTCATCACAAGGGGTTTGAACGCAGGACCTTCCGGTTACATGGCAAGCTCGTATACCATTCAGCAACTGGGACCCGATTCAATGGTCAACTCATGAATTCTAACTTCGAACTTCAGTGGGTGCGTACTGCCGATGATTCCCAAACTAGTCGGGATGAAATAGCTGTCCAGTACTCCAGTGTTGGTTTTCAAGGGTTCTCTAAGTGATATCAACTCGTAAAAACAAAAATTACTCTTAAAAACCAAACTATACATAGATAGAATAGTAAAGGAATTATTGTTTTGTGATCGAGAAAACCTACTGGTGTGGTTAAGTAAGGGCATAAAAACACTATTAACAGTCCGATATTAGTACACCTGATTCTTAAAAATCATATAAGGTCAGCGTAGTGAAATCCTCTACTATCGTCTATCATGTATCGAATTAACTGCCTAAAATTACTGGATACACCGAATTCCTTAGATAACAGAAGCCATTTGTGTGTAAAAGCAATACGTCCAGTCACTATTGCTACCCTGGCCTACTGTGGAACATGTAAATTCATGAATTCTGTGTTAATTTCTCCTTTTTTATCTGATATTCAGTTCAGTAGTACATTTTTATGCATATCATCACTCACAGGTGCTTTTGAATTGTAATCGATCGATATTTTTTCTGATTTTTAATGTTAATTTTTAAAAACGCACATTAATGTTGTTATTAAAAATAGTTCTTTAATTATTATGGATGCATGTAACTGCAGAACATGTTAAAGAGAAATTTACCGAAAAGTAAATTCATTGTTCAATAACGGGTCATTCAAAATTTTTATTGAGCATCTTTAATCAATAATAAATCTCCTGGTCACCAGACTATTAGTCACACTATAACAACAGAAGACAAGGGCCAGGCAACAGATCGTTTATTAAGGAAAATCAACACATATTTATAGATTTTAATGTACATTATTGTAGATTATTGTTAGTAGAAAATACAGTCTTTTGATTGGTTGTTTCTCACAGAAAGTTAACCTTGCATCTCTTTGTGGCTGTGTCAGATCATCTATATGCTAACTGTATCCGCCTACGCAAAGCCTTTGTTCTCATTTTCTCACGACCAATATTGGGGACATAAACATTGACGTCAATTACTGTCTACCAACTTTGGCTAGCAGCCAGCTCTCACCACACTCGTCTCCCCGTCAAAGACTTGCGACTGAAGTTGGTTCGGTCTTCTTGGTTCTTGGGGCTTTGCTCTTTTGTCTTGCTGTCTGGAATCTCGGCGCTTGCGGATGTTCACCTGTTTCTCTGTGTTTACCATTGCGATTGTGTCTGCGTAACCCCATCTCAACGTGACCATATGTGGTCCTTCCCACTTTGGAAACTGTTTGCCTGACCCTGTCGCACATTCGTAGGTATTTCGCCTCACACTTTCATATGCTGCTTTCTCCCGACCTCCCAGCAGCGTCCCAAGTAGCAGCCTCATCGCTGACAGATCTTGAACGCCACTCAACTGCGAAGAAGCCTCGAAGTCCTGCCCGAAGATCCATATGTCTCCATCAAAAACTGCAGGGCATAGGCTTTCCATTTGTCGGTAGGCAGTGACACCAAATGTAACAACAGAAGACAAGGATCAGGCAACAGATCATTTATTAAGGAAAATTCTAACTGTATCCGCCTACGCAAAACCTTTGTTCTCATTTTCTCACCACCAATATTGGGGACATCAACATTGAAGTCAATTACTATCTACCAACTTTGGCGGCCAGCTCTCACCACAGCACAATTTGTGTGAGGGTTCATAATACTAGGTAGGTAAGTAGGTGAACCAATAAGCCGCACGCCCCCACCGCCAGAAATTAGTATGAGAACGTTCATTTGCTCTGCAATACACTCTACAGCTTTTAACCCTATGCTTGTGTAAGTATGCTCAATATAAATATAGATAAAAGATAAGCACTATTTGATAATGTACATATGTATAACCAAAATGGTCCCTAGTTTAACAGTTATATTGTGCAAGTGATGTGGGAAGTTTTCTGTTGAATTTAATAATTTATAACTGTTGAACTGGTCTCTATCATTACTGTTTAAGTTTGTTTTGTATTTCCGCCATGAATGATCACATTAGACTGAAGTGCTCTGACTGATTGACTGACTGGTTTCAACGTAGAACTTTGCACTGATGCGCAGCAGTTCGAGTCGCCAAACTTCACTCACCACAAAAGCGAGAGAAGAAAGTAAAAAGAAGTGCAAAATAGAGACAGTAAACACAGATATGAGGCAAAAATGATGGTAATATCGAAGGACGATATGGCTTTATTGGAAATTATGTCAAAAGGAGTGGATGCATCTGCTCCAGCCAATGAGAACGATCACTTTGAGCCATATCACCAATTGTCTCCAGCCTTCATTGGTGTTTACCATCCCGAGGACCCCAACCAAGAAGTCTACATCTTCCTACTTGGTTTAAACTAACTGTTGTGGATTTCATTGACTGATGAAGCCATGTTTTAGTTTGACCACCACTGGCTCTTTTCCAACCTGACCCTATGTCAGCTAACATTGCCCATCGTCGAGGAAGGCAATCGATGGCTACACACATGCCCTAACCATCTCAGTCGATGTAACTTCACAGCCTCGTCTAACTGATGTGCTCAGTCTCTATCGACATATGTGCTACTGGTATGGGGAATCCAGAGTGTACATTTCGTTCCGTTTAGGACTTGTCAGCTAGATGTACCTTCATCCCTGTTAAATTGTGGTGTTATCACTGAGACTCGAACTTTGCATCTGTAGTTTCAAACGCCAAAAAGTTATTCACTAGGCTACTTGGGCTATGAGGGTCACCTCTTGTGTGACTGTATGAGTTAATTTTGCACTTCTTGTTGATTGAGTCTGCTAGACTGAAACGCTCGGTTTGTGCATTTCACTGTTAGTTACCATTAACCAAAATCATTGTCTATATCGGCGTTAAGACTCCCTAATTCAACAAACATGATTCATTTGCTCTTACGTAGAATGAAATACTTCATTCGGATATGCCACCCGGAGATATTTTGATTGGTTTATTAATTCCCTAGATCTGATTGGTTAGACTCTTTATTTGAATGAATATTTAGAATTTCCCGGTATTGATTTCAAGGTAGACTTTATCATGAATCGAAATCAATGAGAGAAACAATGAAAACCAGCGAGCAGTAGGCCGGCATTTGTTCCTACTTTGTAGCTCTTCATTGTTGCACACCCATGATCCCACCATGACTCGCTAATTGATGTTGGTCAGTGATCATATCTCCTTCGAAGGCATTCAAGCTGGGGATAATGATAGGGTTTACCGTGTCACTTATTAGGACAGATACCCCCAGTTGGCATTGGACGACGATGGAACTACATTTCACATTGATAGAAGTTAGAATTCATTGACCATTGGATTCCAAACGAATGATAAAGTAATGGTGGGCTCTCTGTGTACCATGAAGGTCCTGCGTGTGAACGCTATAGTGGTCATGGATTTGTACCGATGAAGAGTTACAAACTAGGGCGAAACATTTGCGCAGTGTACTCTGATATTCAATTGTCCTCTAACTGATGTCGGTATAAAATGAGATTGTTCATTGAATCTTTTTTATCAAATCTACACCTGACACATGCAGTTGGAATGTTAGAACTCTATTACTGGCTGATAACTGCTACTTTGACCTGGTGGACGCACTTACGTATAGCAATGACCCAACAACCTACTCTAGTTGGGTTGCTTGAATAACGATTAAACTAAATGCAGTAACCAGCATAGTGTAAGTCTCTCAGACTATGCTTGGGATCTGGGGACGAATAGGGCTATAACAACATTAAGGTGTTTCCATGAACGACTAGCAAGTCAGCTATGTCGCCTTTTTGCTCTGAGAGTAAGAAAGATTTAGAAAATGTTGACTTCGAGAAATGAACACACCAAACTACCTTGTGGAGATACACATCAGGCGGGAAGATGTTTATATGAATGTAGCTTCAAAAACCAGCCTAAATAGGCCGCGTGTGATCGGCTTTAAGTAGTTGTCTTCTGGACTCTGTGGTCAGACAACACTAATGCTGCCTCTATTTCAGGTATTTCAACTTAGATCAGCAGATTTGATGTATTTGATCACCATTAAAATAAAAATACAACTTAAAACAATAAGAATGTATGAACAATAGCACGAAGTTTTGAATCAGCTGATTTGAATAGAAGGAATACATTTTATCTGAAACGCAAGGAGTTAATAAATAGACGCTGGAATGCTGTACGACGAATATTGAATAAAAGTATGCTTTCATGAATAGAGAATATCAATGGAGACACATAATTTTTATACGTAAAGACTGACGATTATCTTGAAAAGTAGAAGATTTCTTATTTTGAACTTATTAGCTTCGTTATAATCAGAGTTATAGTCACTCTGAAAGTTTTTGGTCATGGTTGGTATTCATTGGAAAATGGTATTACATGAATTATCATCATAGCAATATTATTATTCATTCCTCGTGTTTTGAGTGGAACATACAGCTCCTGCAGTTGGTTCTCATCCATCTCTTTCAGCTACCTCTAGGACTACTCAAAAGCCTACATTTCTTCTTTAATGATCTCGTTTATAACATCCTCCGATGGCCAAATCATCGCATTCCAAGCAGCTGTTTGACGTGTGACGTCAGTTGGCGACCTCCTCAGTGTATGTTCGACCTATCTTCATTTTTGTGTGCGCATATTTATTGGGAGATTGGTTCTTGGTTCTGGCTTTCGGCCTGCAGGATTTCCCTGTTACTTATTCTCCCCAGCTAGCCATCCAATCTTCAATATCAAGCTAAGGGAAATACTGATGAACGCCTGCAGTAACCTATTTGGAATGCTCTATGTGATGTGCATTTTAAGTGTCTGAACCCAACAGAAACGCTGACTTGACATTAATGTTAAACAGAATTTAGATCCTATTTCTTGCACTAAGTGCTGTGGATCTCCATATTGATTGCAGAATAATGGACGCATGTCTTGCTTTCCCGAGCCGATCCTGACTAGCTTTGATGTCCTCATCCATGCCGCCTTTAGTGGAAACGATGCTGTGTCCAGATATATGAAGTAGATGACATACCTGAGATTTCTCACACTGACAGTGATTGGTACTTCTTTTGTTAGTTGGGTATTTTCATCAACTCCGGATTCTCTATATTTACTCGAAGTCCTGTGTTGGCTGTCTTTCCTGTTACCTTGTTGGTTTTCGCTGGTATATCTTCGAGATTTTACAAGATCAGACATAAGTCATCTGCGAAATCCAGACCTTCAAGGGAATAGGATCTTCCCCTTTGATTGTTTGTTCCCTATGCAATATATTCAAACCAGTAGTATCTAAATTATTTCCCCCCAAATGAAGTACAACTCCTTGAAGTCTTTGTTCCTCATAAATTAGTTGGTAGGGAGAGATTTAGGTTTTATCGCTTTATCTTCAATCACCATATGTTATGTTATTATCAGGCTGATGATGCATGCGCGGTAAAAGATAATTTCATACCCTGATCAAAATATTTTCACTAATAAGAGCTAAAGTTGTTCATCTAACTGCTGTGTTAGACACTTATCTTGTAAAAACCCGAGAAACTAGTTGCGTCCTGGTTATCGTTCCATTAGAAGTACAAACTAACGAATCTTTTTAAAAATGAATCCACAGTGTGTTATATAATTTTTATTTTACTAGTGTTGGTTTCAATTTAGATCATGATCTGATTTCAGTTAGAGAACCATTGAAAACCGGCAGGATGTACTGGAAGGCCGTTTCACTCTTGCTGAGGACTCTTCAGCAGTACTCACCCATGACTTCACTATCAGAGATCGAATACAACACCTTCAGGTTACAAGGCCTACGGAATCCAGTGATCCATAAATTCTACTACTAACTCACTGTCACCGCCAGTCGATATCATGGATTCCGTACTAGTGGCAGAGGGCTTAATGAACTTACCTTGTAACCTGAATGTCTTGGATTTGGTCCTTGAGAAGGAGGAGGAGTCATGAGTGTTAGAGCTGAAGAGTACCAAACCAGGACGAAACCATTTTTTTCAGTACTTACTGGTTCTCATACTGAAATCAATTCATGATCGCACTGGAAAGCAGCTTTATGCTTTACTAAGTAAGGTTTCTTTCATATCCCAATGGGAAAGATTGCACTATCATTTGGGCTACTTGAATATATATCTCATTATTTTATAACGTAAACCTGTTTTTTGTTCACCCACCTATCTGTCTCTATATTTTTTACTCAAAGGTACTCAGAGAGGCAGGAGAATTTGCAGCACAAATAGAACCACACATTCAGTCGTTAAATCAAATGTTAATTCTATTTAATATAGAAAGTCCTGTAAATAGTTAACAAGTCGTGGTTGGTCGTTTTTCCTCTTTTTCTTTTTGTTTCTTTGAGTGAATTATTTTGTTTGTTTTAGTAAAACATTATTTGATAATTAATTTTAATTTTTTTTGTATTTTCCATATTCAAAAAACCCCTTATTTCTATCAGGTCCTTATTTTTATCATTCATCGAGTAAATGATATCTGTGTGCTATATATATACTACTTTCGTGAATTTTTAAAAAAAGGTTTCAATGTACAATGTTTACATTGTTTTATTTAATATTTGTTTATCTATTATTCCTTATTCACAATAATGGGAAGCTTAAATGCATGTATGTATCCATTTTCATCACCATTAACTACCACTATCAGCAAGAGGTTACCTTCTAATTACTGTTAACTTGAACCGGTCCTCTTGCATTTCACAGCCTATATGGTTCTTCTTCTTATTCTTTCACTTACTGTTGTCATTAATATCAATTGAAAACATTGAATACGACTGTTTAAACAAATCACATTACATCATGCAAGTTGTTGTAATTAGTTGCCCCCCGCAAACCTTTTTTTATTGTTTTGACTAAAACAACGAAAATTTACAAAATAATTCTTAAGATAAACTATTGAATTTTGAATTGTATGCCATCTTTTTCTCGGCGCGTGTTCTAAAAGTGATCAATAGGTTCAATGTTTTGTTCATTGCATATATCTCTCTCTGTGTCTATTTTAAAGAAAATATTATCAATCGATCTTATTTAAACTGTGATATTCTTTTTTGTTATCGTTGTATTTATCATTTATTGCTGTGATCAACTCATTTTTAGTTGAATATTCATTATACATCCACTCTTTTCTTGATTTTTTATTATTTTGAAATGATTTATTGGAAGCTTAGCAGATATATAGGTAACACAAAGTAGTGGTGTAGCGTTTAAGTAGATATTTGACTGGTACAGCTCAACTGACTGAATGACTGAATGGGTTTTAACTTAGAGATCAGTTCAAGTAACCACACTCTGTATTACACACAAAGATAAAGAAAATGAAAAACAAAGTCATTAGAACAATAATAGGTAACGATGTGTGGAAACAAGAATAAGTAAGGATTTAATGGTTCTATGACTTTTCAAAAAGTGACTGAATCTGCACCAATGACAACAAATTTTGACCCGTATCACCAATAGTCTCAAACCATTGGTTATTAGCGTCTCAGGGGTCCCAATCAGGCAGTGTACACCTCTATACTCGGCTCATATCAACTGTCAAAGAATTCAGAGGATAATACCTGGTTTTGATTGGACCAACCCTGACTCTTTCACAACCTAATCCTGTGTCACTTATGAATGCTTGGCAAGGAAGGCAGTGGTTCGGTGTGCACAGCACGTGTCTTAGCCGTCTCAGTTGATGTAGCTTAATACAGAAGATATGTGGTGAGAGCTGGCTGCTAGCCAAATTGGCAGACAGTAATTTACGTCAATGTTTAAGCCCCCAATATTGGTCGTGAGAAAAATAAGAACAAAGACTGATTCAACAACCAACCACATCAGACTTTGCGTAGGCGGATACAATTTGCAGATAGATAATCTGAACTTCAATAAACGGTCAAATAGAGATGAAAGATTAACGTTCGACAAGAAACCACTAATCAGAAGACTTTGTTTGTTCGCTTACAATAATCCATAATAATGTACATGAAAATCTATAAATATCTGTTGGTTTCCTAAATAAACCATCTGTTTCCTGGCCCTTGTCTTCTGTCGTTACAGATAGGACACAAACATCTGGTGACTAAGACAGCTGGCCTTTTGACGTCTTTCTTTTTCAGTGGCCACTTGTCTTAGTCATAAAGAAGAGCAAAGCAAACCAATACTCAGTACACACGACAGCCGGATATCACGTCTGCCTCGGAGATCACGGAGGATGAAAAATGCCATACAATACCTTTGTATCTGTGTTGAGATGGTGTTAGCAATCAGTTTATTAAAGCTGATGCAAATTCCAAAATAAGTGCTGCGATCAACATTCTCACCTACTTCACTGCCTATATTTTACTATGTTTAGAATGCAACTCACCCGTCCCTGTCTACTTTAAGATGATGCTGCAGAATTGGTCTACACCGAATCCCAGTTTAAAGAAAGGCGATGCAGTGGTTGAGAATATCGATCGCCCAATTTATTTGGGAAGTTTCATCAGCTCTAATGAAATGCATGCTAAAACCATTTCAGGAAAGATACAAATGCTTCCTGTAGCATTTGGGTACCGAACAAAGGAAGTATGTACTGCGCATCAGTTCTCTCTATCCTTCTTTATGACTTTGAAATATGGCCACTAAAAGTAGAAGATCAAGACAGAGTGGTTGTCTCTGATCATAAATGTCTGTGAGTAATATTGAGGTTAAGCGTAGGGTGTTGTATAAAGGGAGTAAGTTAACAATTGATGTTGTGAAGCTTTGTCAACGGAGATGACCAGGACACGTGTTATGCAACATGAACCATTGCCTTCCTCATCGAACAATCTTAGATTACATGGGATTGGGCTGTAAAAGAGTTAGGAGCGGGCAGATCAAAACCTGGAATCAACCCATTAGGTCTTTAACTGTTAATTTGCGCCATGTATGGAAGTGTAGAGTGTGTGATCGATCGGAGTCCTCGGGGCTGTTTGTAATATGAATCAGGATCGTTATCAGTGGGGTGATGTAGTCTCCAGTATGTTTCTCCATGTTACTATCCTTCTACTGTACATTCCTCTTCAGTATGGTTTCTTGTACTTGTCTCTTTTCTCCAACGTTTTGTTCAATATGGATTGTGGCAAATTCATCTGTTGTGCTCTAATACAAAGCTGTACGTTTAAACTCAGTTACTCAGGGATTCAAGAACTTATACGTCATTTCACTGGACTTATTACCTGTCTTTCTAGATAATGGTCCTATTAAATTCTGCCTGCTTGTCTTTTAAAGCAATTTGGTTCTCCGTCTCAAAACTCAGTGTTAAGACCTTTGTAGTAGATTTCGTAAAACAAAACTTTTCATACATTTATTCCCCTTAATGAATTTGAACAAAGCAAGAACAACAGCTTTAGCGAAATAAAGTGGTACCATCTTTTATTTCGTTGGCTCCTCGTCATCTGCTTACAGGCCAAAGACATTATTAAATGTATCTACAAAAACAATTTTAACATACTTGCAAAGAGTTCATTTTAAACAAAAATCAATCGATCACCATACGCATACATTAATAATATATACATATATATGTAATATTAAACACTACTTCGAACAATAATAATCATACACAATGAAAAATTTTCAGCATTTCACATTCAGATGAAAGAGAGATGAAAAATATCCAGTTACCAGGGCAAAGAAAGACTGATAACCGCTACTTTCTGGACGCATAAATCAGGTTCCAGGCGCTTGATGGAAATGGCTTCAGTAAACTTGAGGAGAATTGAGCTGTTTTGCCTATTGATAATTTTAGACTTTTCGACGTCCACCTCATGACCGGTGGTGTCGAGGAGATGCCTGGTGATGGCACTGTTTAAAGCATTTGTTCCCTTTAGACGTAAACTTTTTGGTACAAGTATGTTAAAATTGTTTTTGTAGATATATTTAATAATGTCTTTGCCCTGAAAGCAGCTGACGAGAAGGCAACGAAATAAAAGATGGTACCACTTTATTCTGCTAAAACTGTAGTTCTTGCTTTGTTCAAAAACAAAACTATTACTTTAAAGCTAACTTTAAGATGTTTCGTGTAGTATTCATCTTTCTTAAATACTAAATAAAACGAGGGGTGAGAAGCCCAACAGAACTTCGATAGACTGTTAAGCCCGAACATTCGTTTTTGTATATTATGATTATGAAAAAGGTTTTTGTGAATTTCAGTGGATACTACCTTGGTTGTATTACCATGATATTGGAGTGTTTGCGTCTAATGAACAGTATTCGAGTTTAGACTCAGGACCTTAAATGATGAGTCAGACTTATTCACTCTTCAGTCAGTATTTTAAAATGCAATGACTGAGGAATTTTTAAGTATTGCAAACTAGAGTAAAGTTCAGTTTTCTCTGCTTTTCAGTGATTTTCTATTTAATGTCTGTTTGTGATGACTTCTACACGGAAGTTCATCGAATCCCTACCATCAACCCCATCATCTATAGTAAATTGATGTATTTCTGAATTTTATCACATTTCTACAGATCCAACTGCATTGATCTTCATGAAAGAAACACAGTAGGAGCTATTTTATCCAAAAAACCAATCGATGGTTTTCTTCTTGATAAAATGATACTCTACATAGGGCTATCACCAAGCTAACTGATACAGTGCTGCTGTGCACTATAATTCAGTAACATTTGATTTCACTTGTAGCTGAAGCCAGTCACCAAGAGGCTCCGCTCAATGTAGGTTTCTTGACTTATGGTACTTACTATAAACCCCCTATTTTGCAGAACTAATAATCCCTTATAATAAAGGTTTTATTGTATTTTTCAATGAATGAAAACAAGGTGATATTGTTTTTACTAACCTTTCGCTATTTAATGCTGCTAATAGCTTTATCAAAGTAGTGGTATTAAACCAGAATTTACAAAAATCTCAGCTTATATATAACAACTTAATCATCGTTCCTCAGCATGAGGTCATTTTTCCGTTGTCAAATTGGCCAGTCGCTAAAGATAACAAAACCAGGTGTAGATTGTTGGACCTAAACAGTTGTCATTCCATAGAGAGCGGAGAAGTCAGACGATATCAGAAGAATACTCAATAAGCTCGACATTAGAGTTTTCTTGAAAACATCAGATACACTGCGAAACAATCTTGTCCACATAAAAGACAAAATCCCTAAAGATTCGCTATCTAATTGTGTCTATAAAATAAACTGCTCGGAATGTGATGCGATATACATCGGACAAACATTTCGAGAAATCAAAATTACAGGAAATGAACACCGCAAATCCGTCTCTCTTCGACCACCGAGAAATCCAGTTAAACTAGAAAAGCTTGGAAAGTCATCAGCTAGTCAAAGCCCTACACGCCATAGAATCACGTCACAAAATTGATTTTGACAACATGGAAATAATCCAGGAGGATTTCATGACTCACAAAGAACGTCTAATATCATCATAAGCACGTCATATCAGGTGGAATCCAAATCGTCTGATGAATAGGAATGATGGACTGAAACAGAATTTGACCTGGTTACAACACCTCTCTCCCCCATGA